GAAAGAGAGGAGACCTGGACAATGATTCACTCTGCCATCCCTGATTCACAACAGCCAATCTCTACTATGTTGAGAGTTTCTTGAAAAGAAACTCGATTTTATTTCCTCACGCAACCTTCGTTTGTGTGTGTGTGATTTTAGCTGTTGTTTTGGCACATTACTTCAAGTCCCTCATCTTGACATTGTTTTTGTATTCCAAACTAATCATTGTATTTTGGAGGCCACAAGAAGTCTCAAATCTCAAAGGTCTCCAAGAATTCTAGAACCATCCCAGTCAACCCCAGGGGTGTGCCACTTAGATACCTTGATTTTGAAAGTATATACTAGGGATCAGCCGAAGTAGAAATATGTGGTTTTGAAAGCTTTATTTCCATTGTCTGACATGCTAGAAGAGACTCGGAAGAGATGAGGGCATGAAGGAATACAGCATGATATAGTATTGTGGCACAGCCATTCTAGATTCTTTGCACGTAAAATGGAAAACAGGTCTCACGCATTCCAAAGCAATTCTGAGATTTCAATGAAAGTAGCCAGGAAGTTCCAATTTAGACAGGGTTTTTAGAATCTAGAATGAAGAACCCAGGGTCCCTTGGTAAAAGTTAAAGCTATACTATGAAGCACTTGTCCGGCATCGGCCAACAGTATACATATATGCCAGCATATCTTGCGATGAGCTCTTCTGGTGAAACCATCTCGACGGGAAACAACAATTCCACTTACCTACCTACCCATTTCTTCTGTAACAGTTTTCGCAGAGCTTTCGGCAAGAAACGTTCGCCAAGTCGCTCAAACCGCAGCTTGCACCTTAAGACAAAAGGCAGTGACGAGAACACGCGCGGGCTAGGTCCAAGCCAGAAGAAAAGAGAACATTGAAACAACTGCAGCTGCAACCCAAACAAACTCATGAGCAGGGTCAGGATTCAAACCTTAACTTAAAAACATTTTTGTCTAAAGTGAACTAATGAGACTAACGCTGGTGAATTTCAAGGCAGAACAAAAGCTTCTGAATTGCGCAGGCAACGGAAGAAGCGCTGCACGGACAGAGCTTCCATGCATTTGCTGTTTGAAGCATCTCTAACCCAGCCTAACTCAGCCAATTTGCTTGGTAAAAAATCGGAGCAGCAGCGGGGTACAGGTCCCAGCTACATGTGAAAAAGCATGGCGCGCTGTCCCTTCGAAATCAGACACGAAGCAAAGCAACGGCAAACCAAATGACAAGCCCAAACAAAAAAGAGTTGCCGTTTGCTTTTCGTATTTTTGCGCGTCGCGTTTTGTTTTCAGGACCTTTTTCGCAGTTCCCATCTACGCGCTGTTTTCTTACTTCGCGTCGCCTCTTTTTTTTGGTTTCCCGCGGCCTGCGTTCTTTTGATATTTGCCCCCTCCACACACACGCACCTTCTTGTGGACTTGCTTTCTCAGAGTTTTTACTTTTCTTTTTGCAATCATGATTGTCGCACGCATGGCTGCAATGGTTGCGTGGAATGCTTGCCACTTGCTTTCTGTCATCGCCCATGCAGTGTGCTGCGCCAACAGCTTGCCCATGCCTGTGGCAACATGTTCGGTGTGCATTGAAATGTGTCATTGGAATCGCCGATGAATTGCCTTGCTGCGTCCCCTGTAAAGCAGGCATAGCATAGCTGCCGCTAAACACTCACAGTGTTTGAGTCGGCCTTGTGGTGGTGGTGGTGCTTGGAATCATGTTAGCCGTACGGTTGGTTGTTGTGGCTTTTGCTTTGGCTGCTGCTGAGAAGATGCAAGCGCCTTCCAGCTTCATGCTGGTAAGTGGTGTCTCTTCACCGCGAGAGATGTGTCTAGTCGGGATGGGCCCAGCGGGTGCTTTATTGGACGAGTGCACGGCTGCACTTGCAGAGCTGGACGGACGTGAGGTTTGGAGTCTCACAGGCAGTGGCTCCTTGACGAATTTAGCTGCAAAAAAGTGTTTGGCCGCGCAGCCTGATGCTGCTGCTGGGAGTGCTGTTGAGCTAGCGCCTTGCGATGAAGCAGGGAAGAGTTCAACCTGGGAGTTGCAGGCCAACGGACAAATAAAGCTTGGGGCCAGCAACATGTGCCTGAGCCAAGCAGGGCCTTTGCCTGGCCGTGCAGATCTTGCCTCTAGCTCCGCAGTTGTTGCTAGCTCCACATTGGACCCTGCGCACGGAGCTGCCCTTGTTGTTGATGGTCTCGCATCATCCTATTGGGTATCCAAGTTAGACGAAGCAGGCCCTGTGTCTTTGACGCTTGAATTTGACAAAGCGGCGCCTGTGCTCGAAGTAGAGCTTGATTTTGAATTTGCCCCTTCTTCTTTCGTGCTGCAAAGCTTGGGGGCAAGTGGTAAATGGATTGACGAGTTTGCAACTGACACCAACATCCTTCGAACCGCCAAGCTCCCACTGGCCGGTGGCCCGGCCTATGGCGTGAGGCTTGTGATGAACAAAGCGCATGCGACCCAAGCCGTGCTGGGAGGTCATTCCATTTTTGGGGTACGTTCCTTCAAGGTCCT